GCTCGATTCAGACGGAGGGTTCAGCAGCCGCACACCGAGTGCGATCACGCCAGGGTGTGTGGTGAGTCGCACATGCCCGATTCCCAGGCTCGGAAGCGAGCCACATATCGGGTTCCATTTCATCAAGGTTATTTTGCTTGTCAACCCGAACGAGCGCCAAGGAGTCGATCGGTGAGAAAGCAGACCGGATGACATCGGCTGAAGCCAGTTCGCCGCCCACGAGAACGACTGCTTGTCTTCAGACAAGCTGAAGGTCGGCGAGAAGCCGCAGACTCCAGGAGGAGCGTCTTCGAAATCGGAGAAGGCTGCACGAGAATTACTCACAGTGGGTGTGAACTCCAACGCCAGAACAACTCGACCTGGTGCTTCCGTCGACCCTGAAGGACTGGGACCGGATGCATTTCCTTGAAAGAGGATGTTTCCTGGAGTGGACGCTGGCCGCCGCGCCTCTTCCTCCTCGAAGCGGAGTTGATCCATCGAGGGTGGATCCATTTTCACAGACGATGACCTCTTCTTCAAGAAAATTTTCGTGAAGAAGTTTCCCTTCCCCCTCTGCTTGATCCCGTCGACATCAGGTGACTCCTGAACCGGTCGATCAAAATCTGATCCCTATTTTCAAATGAGGTGTAAGTTGACACGCATAGATACGGGAAAGCTTTGAAGAAGTTTCCCTTCCCCCTCTGCTTGATCCCGTCGACATCAGGTGACTCCTGAACCGGTCGATCAAAATCTGATCCCTATTTTCAAATGAGGTGTAAGTTGACACGCATAGATACGGGAAAGCAAGACTCTCTTCCACTGTTGCTCAAAGGTAAGGCAATTTCAGAACTTTTGTCATGCAATGGAAGAAAGATGAGCAACGAAAGTAGGAATTTTCTCGCTTTAGTCCATGGATTGTAAAAACTCCCTCCCCACTTAATTGCATTCGAGCGATTTCCGCAGAGGAACCAAAACGACAGACTCACTGGAGACGTTGAAGACCCTCCTAGGTTCCTTTTCTTCTTGAGGGCAACAGCAAAAGTTGTCCATTTCCTTGATCATGAACGTGTAGCTTGTATGAGACGCGAATGAACGAGGGCGAGATGCAATCTGGGACTCAACCATTTCTAAGCGACGAGAATGACATCATTTTTCAAATTTTATTGAAACGTTTCACATCTCATTGGTGGAGCAGGCGAGTCAATTAATTATAATGAAGAAGATTGAAGTTGATATTTTAAGTGAAAGGCTAATGAAGCAGTTACATCGAGGCTATATATAAATATTTAAAATAATATATAAATGTTGGGAGTTTTGGCGAATTTCCAACGGATTAAACCACGGTTATTTTCCATTTCTGAACAAAATTATTTCATTTGCCCCATTCCATGGATTTTCTTCGCGCAGACGACGCCCTGAAACTGTCCATATTCATGCTCACTTTAGCCGCGAGATGTCAGTAGCTGCCGTTTCCCGCCGTCCCATATGGCGTCTCCAAGTTATGGAGATTCAACTTCATACACTCCTTTCCTACCTACGAATTTAATCAGAACGCTGTATTCGCTGAAGGAGAGGCTTCTGCCTCCCCTTACCTGCACTCGTGTCTCATCCTTCGTGTAAACCAGGCTCGACATATCCATCGGCATGTCTCAATTGCACCGAGCGTAGTTTTACGGTTGGCCTATGTTTACAGGATTTCGCCAGCCATGGATCTGCTAAGGAATTTCGATTGGCGTGACTATTGCCATGTTTGAGTTTCATGGGAGCTCTCAAGCCGTGGAGTCGGAGCGGGATTACCTCGCGATAGAGTATTGTGTTCCTGGCCATGTCTCCCCGCATGCCGACTAGATAAATTCCAGACGTGTGCGGCAGCCTCGACTGATATTCCCCCTTAATTGCACTCACCATACATGTTAGGCTTAAGAAAGATGTGAGATTTGACTCATTTTCTAAAGTACGGTGTTTTCTTCTATGTGCTGTCATTCTTCGTGCATCGTTCGACCCACGATATGCAGTCTTGTCCTGAAATCTGCAGGTCGTCTCAGTGATAAGAAAGATGTGAGATTTGACTCATTTTCTAAAGTACGGTGTTTTCTTCTATGTGCTGTCATTCTTCGTGCATCGTTCGACCCACGATATGCAGTCTTGTCCTGAAATCTGCAGGTCGTCTCAGTGACCCTTCAATTTTTATTTTCAATGGAGGGAACAATTATATTACTCTTAGAAGTAAAACAAGAAAACTTATCGCTGTGAAAAATAGTGAAAACTATCCTTAATCATTGTTTCTATATAAAAAATAAAAAAAACCAAACAAAATGAGATGCAGTTGATCCAAGAAAATTTTTTGAAACTGATGGCATGTCTGCATCATGAGGATATGGAAGTTGTACAATTGGTATGATAATTTTATTTTAAATTTTAAACTTGAAAGAAATTATGTTGTGTATGTACATGATCTAAACTTCTAAATTTGAGGAGTTAATTTTTCCTCTCAACAGGGATTGGAAGGTTGGTGCATTCTGTTCTTAGCTCTATACTGGAAGGTCCTGAGCTGCTTCTCACTCAGACTGATGAAAGTGCCACAGGCAACATTCACTGCAACAAGTTTCTATCTGAGAAGCCCCCATCGGGCATGAGGCAGTGAGGGAAGGATTGTCTATTATAGAGATTCACTGGTGAAAGTGGAAGAAACATCACATTTAGTTCCCTAAATTGCTTTGTAAGGATGCTAGGTGACAGTAGAACTCTTGATTTTTCATTCTTAGAACTACTTGAGTGTTAGACTACAGACCCTTTGTATGTGTGAAAAGTTTGATTGCATTCCCTGAGCCAGGGAGGAAAAATTTACTGAAGTCAAGTTAGCCTCGGCTTCTTTCATTCTTCTTTATGGGAATTTCTTGCCTTTCAGGATGACTGACCCAAATGTTAATTTTGGATACTTAACCCAGAATTACCTAACTTGTTACTGATTCCCCAAAACTTTCTGTCTTTGCAGGTGTTTTATTCTTCTCTCTTGTTCCTTCACTTTTCATATCACTATGTTCCTGGGGTGACGGTGTCATTGGTAAAAGGTCATTGGTGCTAATCAGCCTGATCATAATACCCAAAGGGCAAAATTTACTTCTGATATTGACAGAGTGGAGCCAGGATCTGCTTATGAAAACCATGCATCTAAATATATTGCAATAGCAGGGCAAACAGTCTGCCACCATGACACCAGCAGGGTTGTCCCAAGGAACATTTTAGTAAGCTATTTTGATGTGAGGAGTAGAAAGAGGGTTAAGTAAACAGTCAGGAAATATGCATGTGGATGTCATTGCCTACCCTACAGCTTTAAGTTTTTTGCCTAGAATCAAGAATTATTTTTGGTATATGAGAGGGGAAGTCAGTATTCAGATTGTACATGGAATATGTGATACCTGCAGGTCCCGGGAAATGAAGTAATCATGGGATTGAAGAAAACTGTGGGCTTTAGTTAGGTTCACATTGAAGTATTCAAACTCTTAGAAAATGTAGACATGATGTGCCTGGTAGAAGAAAAAAGTTCTTGAGCAAAATAAAGAGACCCCTCTTTATTTTGTTCATATGTGACTTGGAAAATATTATAGCTTTTGAGTAAATAAATAAATAAATAGGTTTGATGGAAGATTTGAACAGAATTCATGACTTATTGTATTTTGAGTATGAAATAAGTAACCATATATCCAATTTTAACAAAAATTAATCCATTGGACCTTTGTTCTTGGACACTTGGACATCCAGTGGATGATCAAATGTCTTCTCCAAGGATTAGTACTTAGGATTAAAGTACTTATTGTACTTGGAAGTTTTTTTTCAGATTTTAAAATTATATGTTGGTCATTTCGTGTCAAAAAAACAAGGTGTTAAAAGGTTTCTCTCTCTTCTCTGATTTGAATGAAATTTGGCAGGCTTATTTATACCAATTAGAAAGTGATTCACAGTAATTATTGGGTTCATTTAACTTCTCGTACCTCAGATATGAGGTCATGAAAATTTGGGCTTTAATGCCTTCAAGTTGCACTTTGAGACAGTCTTCTCTTCATAATTTCTGCCCTAATTGTGCTGGAGACCTCTTCTTGGGGTTGTTTGAAAGCTCTTTTCATGTCCTTTTCAGAGATATGACTAGTTTTTGGCTAAATGCTAATTTTTAGTGTAGAGGTCATGGTAATGACCTTTGACCTCACATTACAAAAAAACATCCATTTTAGATTTAAAAAAAATTGGCTGGTTTGTTGGCAAGACATATGTCTACCTCTGTGTTAAATTTTACTTTGGGCTCTTCAGAAGTTCTAGAATAAAAAGTAAAAGTGGTGATTACTACATTAATATTCTTGCATTCATTAATGCTTTCCAGTTAATCGCACTACAGAGAACTGGGAAACAATGAAAAGAAATCGATACACTAATCACAGTACCAAGTTAAAAGATCTTCATGATGGTATTTTCTCTATTTCTTGTTCTGTGAAGACATACCGATGCATCCACCATCTTGTCATTTGACAGTTTTTAGGTACGTCCTGTTACTGTTGAGGGATTCATGAGTGAAAGGACTTGACTATGATGTACTCTTAGTTCATCAGATTTGTGAGGAGAGAAAAAGAAGGTCTCTTCATTTTTCTATTCTATTTTCATGGACCATGTGGATGTAGGAAAGAAACAAGAATTTCCTCAATGTCTTCAAATTTTGCAAGAACATATACAAGATACTAATTTCCTCCATATTCACGTGTCACAAACCCTCTCATGCTTGAATGTGACATCTCCATTGGAGTGTTGAACTTGACAGCTGCGAATGTGCTTGACTTTGAAAATTGTTTCACTCTGATGATAGCAGAAAGATAGAGGAATGTGACAATGAAGACTCTGTGTTCCAGGAATTGCCTGTATACCTGAAAACCATCTTTGGAGCTTCTGTGTTTCTTTGATCTCGGTCTCAAGGACAAACTGAAACCTTATAGTTCTCAGATTCTCTTTGGCTCACAAAGAGAGATCTTGGGGTGTCTGAATTCTGCAGGTCATATGGTCTTTAGAGGCTCACTCTTGCAGCTAATCTTTTGACTACCACCCAAACCATCACATGGCCCTTTGCCATGTGATGTGGCAAAAAAGTTCCACACTGCTGGAATTCCAAAATCAGCCTCATGAAAGCAGAGGTTGCAGAAATTCTTTTTATTTTTATACTGGCTAGCTGCACCATCTGAGAAATAGGCAATTTTCTTTATAGGGCCAACTGTTGCCTCCTCTTCATGCAACAGTGAAATGAGATACTTCTGGAAGGTATAAACTGCAACTATGTCATGTATAAGAGTGTTGGATATGATGACAAAGCTCGAGAGTTGCAGTTCATTTCCATCATTCACATCTTTGTGAGGCATCTTTAAATAAGCAAACAGAATGATGAATTGTAGCCCGATTATTATTTCAACGGAATCCTTGTGCAGCATCTTGAAGAACAATGGAGTAGTTCTTTGCAAAATCTAGAAGAACAATGAATTTCCCCTAAGCAAGGTTTTCCTTTGTCTTCTGAAGAAATGAGGATTGCTGCTGGGCAATGAAATCATGTTTTCTCAAGAAAGTCTTTTCAAGTTTAGTCTTTTCAAAGAATCAAGAAATCAAAGAAAGAAATAATCCAGAAACTCCTCAGTGCTTTTCACCATTGTCTCCAGAGTTGACCTCTCTGTTGACACCCATTGCTTGGAGGTGATGGAGTCCATCATTCTGTCATTGAAGTCTTTTTGGAGCTAAGCATGCACATGTAGCATTTGAATGCATGGAATAAAATGAAGTTTAAAGTGCTCATTTTTACTTTGGATTCAATTGAAATAACGCTGTTGAATGCATTCCCATAGGTGCCCATAATAATGTTGAATATTCATGTTAATTCATGTTAATCAATTTCATGCAAATGGCATTTTATCTCCATAAATTATCAAGCACCCAAGTTAAAATTTGATACAGAGGTAGCTTATGTCTTTCATCCAATTCACATCAAAATTCAAGAGGGTTGTTTTTGACAATGTGAGGTCAAAGGTCATCAACATGACCTTACTGAATGGTAACTTTTTACCATTTCTCAAAATGTATCAGTACTAATGGAAGGAACTGGAGTAGAACTAAAAAATGAGCCTAAGATGAAGTCTCTAGCACAGTTAGGAACGGAGTTTCAAGGAGAAGACTATATCGGTGTGGAATATGGCATTTCAGCCTCAAATTTTGTGGCCACATACCAAAGGAACCAAGGGTCTAATGAACCCAATATTTGTGTGAATTAGTTTCTCACCATTGTTGATAGGTATACCAAATATCATCCAAATCTGAGGGGGGTCACCTGAAAAAGGTCCTCCAAGTGTGTTGATTTGACCCATATGTTGATCAATGGAGCTATTGTGTTGATGTGATTAATGTGGTGTTGGTGATGTTCATGATATTACTTTTGTGTGATGCTAACGGCACTGTCTCCTAACCTACTAGCTCACTGCTTGTGAATGTCTGACTCTTTAGGTTGAAATTGTGCTTCCTTGCTGCTTCTGCTTTCCTGTTGCAGGAGCAGTTAACTGGACTTGCTGAAGTCAAAGAAGTTAGGAAACCCCAACTCGAGGTCTCAGCACCCTTTGTGTTGATACTCTCCATGGAAGCTGTGACATGGATCATTCTCTCTGTCGTATCCATACCTCTCTTCTTCTGGTGACGCATGAAGTGAGAAATTTGAATGTCTTCCTTTGTGTTTTTTATGGGAGTGGATCAAGTACTGCTAGAAAGGTACTGGGGTCTTAATGAATCACTCCCTGATTGCACTGAAATAGAGGCTGCATACTCACCATCTCGCTTATTCTGTGGGAAGCTTTTTGTTCACTGCAATTTATGTCCAAGCTCCCCCACTCAGCCAATGTTGGCCCAACGTTGTGTGCTGCCAGGGGAGCTTCCCATAGTTGCCTCTCGGCAATTTTCATCTCTCCCTGCTGATAAGATGAACAAGGCCAAGTAAGCAAGGAATGCATTTTCATATATGGTGAATCATGTTCTTTATCAATATCACTGAAACTGTGAGAAAGTCCTCCTATACAAAGGCACGCCTGAATGAACCCAAACTAGGTCTGTCTGTATGGGCAGAAATTGAAATGAAATTTCCTTTCGTATGCTCATTTCCTGGTTAGCTAGACCTTTGTGGTGCAATTGCCCTCACTCCGTTTCGCTGTTCACGTCTCGTTTCAACTGGCTTTGGTGAGCCTAGTTCATGTGGCAGAATAGCGGAAAGCCCAGTTTGTAGCAATATTCATAATACTGAAGGTGGCTACGCAGTAAGTCTATCCTCGATCACTCTTTACCTTTATTATTTTGAATACCCTTTCTAGTTACTGGAGAGATACGGTTTTTCCTCCGCAGAGGCACTTGCCCAACCCCCTCGCCAATTTGTTGCAGCTTCATGCACGCGCATTTCATGTGTGAAATTCTTGCCTGGAAGTATGTTCTCAAGTTCGAGGAGAGAATGTAAATGAGATGGGGCTCTGCCAGGGCTAGGAGACAGGTGAGACATTGCTAGACCTGCAACATTTCACTTGTGAGGCCTGGCATTGTCATGCTGCAGAATGACAGAATGCAGAATGTTTGCCCTCCAACCCTGACTTTGCCCCATGCCCTTTCTGTTGGCTCCTTGAGATGAAGGTTGCACTTCCAGGAAGGCAGGCATCACGAACATGAAATTGAGTTGCATGGTGCTGGGATGATTTGATGTCGACGGCAACCAGAGATTTATCTGGCCCAGCTTTCCAAAACTCATTAAATGTTAGGGATAGTGGCACATGGTTTATGGGGATTATGTAGAAAGCAATAGGACCTTTTCACTTAACGTCACAGCTCGGGAGACACTGCCTCTGCACCATGCTGGAGTACAGGCAGACTATGTTTGGCAAGAACAATGATGATATTTTGTTCAACTATGATTAATTTCTCTGGTCTATCCAGGTCTTGCACACTTGCAAAGGTGGTTCCCTGAGTCTTTGAGAGTGACGGACCTACAAAAATGATTATGTACGCTGTTTCTCCTATCGGTTGTGCGGTATCTTTACAGGCCTAGATCTAAATCCATGATCAAGAAGGTAGCCCAAAACAGGTGTCCTTGTCAGAGGATTCTATATTGGGTTGTCTCTTTAGGCCTCAAGTGAGAAGGTAAGACCTAAACTTGATGGCATGTGATGCTCTAAGCATAGGTACAGGAGAGAGAAGTGAATATTGTAGTTGGAATTTCCTATCATATTGTGGGCTCAGTTCTGTGGAGTCTCTTCCTTCATAGGCCTTCTTTTCAAAACAAACCTTTAACGCCATGATTTTCCGTTGAAAAGATACGACATGGTGACATTGCAAAGTCAAGGGCATTGCTTGAAGAATTTCGCCATGACTAACATGCGCTATTGCGAAAAATGGAATGCATGGCATTTTTAGGCCAGAACTTGGGATGATCCACCAGACCATCACAGGACTTCAGTACGTAAGGATCAGTGTTTTCACATATCTTCATCTTCTCTGGATAGGGGTCTTTTGCCGTGCCTTGCAGCGTCTCAAAATAAGCGGAAAAACTGGTATTCATGATGCAGACTTGATGAGGCTACACCCATGACATAAACCTATCAATCGAAATCCCCACTCTCCTGTACTCCAGCATGGCGGGTGTTCGCTCCACCCCTCTGTTAAATGTCATCTTGTGACGTCGGTGAAAAAGCCCTATACAAGTTGGGATCATTGCTTTGAGGATTTATTGGATCACATTAATTTTTCTGGTCAGGTATAGGAATCCCTGCGTGTGTTTAGCACATAAAAGACTCGTAAATAGAAAGGATTACATATAGTAATTTTGTTTCCATGTTCACTTGATTTTATCTTGTAATTTTTTTGTGTTCAGTCAAGCTCAAGGTGCAGAAGTACTGCATCTCAGATCTTGAAATAAGTGAGAACCTTTAAAGTTACTGCCAGGAATGAGGCCTCGGGATGTTTATTGGTAAGCCAACGGCAGAAGTAGATTTTCAGTTGGTCCCTTCGACATGAGTGAGCGTATCAAACGGTGCACTTACCATGACCGAGGACACTGCAGCGCATTCAGAACATCTTCGTCAGAGAAGAAGCGATATGGTTTGATAGAGAGGCAGAAGACGTGACAGACATCCATCCCAATGGGTTTCTACCACGTGTCATCCAGGGACGAGATCATTAAGTGTCCTTGCCATAGTTTTCGAGAGAAGGATTTTGGGTTGGGGTATTGCCTAGAAACAGAAAAGTAGCATATGTTGCACAAAGTTACTGAAAGAGAAAAAAAAAATTACAGGCTGGTGGGACTTGTGAAAACTAGGTGAAAGATGGAAGACAAGTGGGATTGCATCCTGGGTATTTCTTGGGAGAATCTCACTAATATGAGAGTCGCAGGACGGGTGCTGCTGGCCAGTATGAATTCCTCACCGGTCTCCTTCGATTGGACAACGTTCACAAAGTGTAATTGCCATCAGGTTTGGGTTATACGAATACACCAGAAAAACAAACTTTTCTTTGATTTTTGGCTGTTTGTAACATTCACTCTCTAAACCCGTTCTGTGAATATTGTTTATTTGGATTTTGTCAAAGCTTTCTGTAATCAATATTTTTTATATTTATCCTCCTTATGGATCCCGTTTTTGGGATTGGCAGGTTGGAGATGCAGAAAACCCTCATTTGAAGGTTGAAGGTTTTTCTGCTCACATGCCTCATAGGATGATGCCTCTCATGATGGCAGTTTGGTGCCTAGAATGTATGTTGCCCTTGTAATATAGGGTGGGCCAAAAGTTACACCCCATGAGATAATAATGAATTATAATAGAAATTAAACATTTTTGTTGTAGGTAAAAAATATCCATGAAACCAATGCCACGTAAACTAAAATAATATTTAAAAATAATATAAAAACTAACAGCAGAATAATAAAAAATAATAATTACATGGGGAAATGATTAATATAATCTTAATGGAGAGTGACTATTGGCCCACCCTGTATATTTGTTTGAGTCTCCACAGATGCCTTATGAATTAGTTTTTCAGCCTCCAAGGTGTGTGAATACTGAAGCAACTGCAAATGGGTTATTTATCCAAACAGCCATGCATGTGGTGAGTCATTTCATTTTCTGTTGGTTGATGGATTGCTGATTCAAATTTTGTTTTTTTTTATTCTAATTTTTTGTCAATGATTGCTATGCTACTGAACAGGAAGTGTTCTCTTCCAATGCGATCCTGATAAAACATCGAGCAAGGTCTCCTTGGTAGTGTAAATTCATATGATCGAATTTTGACAATTCATAAATAGCAGATTAATGTGAATATTAGTACAACAACTGATAGTTATTTCCAGCTTGGACTAAAAGCATTGAACCTGTATATGCTTCAAGTCTTTCCATGAGAGAAGTTCAATATAACTACAATATCAATACTCCAGTGCAGGAATTCCTTGTGATGAACTTGAAGAAACAAGAAAGAATGGCCAAATTTTCTTACCTCAGAGCAGGCTAGGAAATTCTTTGCGAACCTGCAAACGCAGTTCGTGGGAATGGAACTTTCATTTCCTGGGAAATATGGGGGATGGGAACAGAGGAAATTGTATGAAAATACTTTTCAAACAAAAATTTCGATAGGAGAAAAATTTGCATGGGGAAAGAAGAGGAAAAAGGAGAATAAGAAATTAAGGGCAATCTTAGTGTGATTTTCTGTCTATTACAGGAAGGACATCACATCCCTTAGAATTCCTGTCAGAGCTGTCGACTGTTCTCCATTTTTTTACTCTCTTTCTCATAGGCTATGATAAGGGAATTCAATCATGGTTCCTGCTGTCTCCTTAAACAAATCAGGGAGAAATGCACGGAGTGAGGAGAAGCATGACAACTAGTGAATTGGATTAAGAAACTGTTGGGCAACAGAATGCCAACTTATGCCCAGCCATTAGATAGGGGAGGTGATGAAATGAATGCGAGGGTGGAATGCACAGATCAGAGACTGATCCAGAGGTATAGATCGCGCATTACATTTGGCAGAACTAAGCCGTATTCTGTAACAATTCAAATTGATCTCCATATCAAATTGTCCTTGCATTAAACTTCCCCTTATAATCTTAAGTAGCTTTTCATGACATGAAAAATTTCTATTTTCAATGAAGAGTGTATCCATCAAAATACAAGTTTTTCATGCAAAAATTGAGTGCGTGAAAATAAATTCATAACTGCAACCCTTCCAAGTGAAGTCTAACTCAAAATCAAAGCTTAGGCTTGGGAAAGACCTCAAAACGTCATTGTAGTGGAAAGGATTTCCCATCTTTCTCAGTCAAGGCATATATAAGACCAATCTTTTGGATTCATCATTCTCTGGAGTATGCTTGCGATTTTAATGAGCTCCCTAGTTTACACGGGATGGGGTTGTGATGAATGTAGCACAAAGTGCGCTAATTGAGGCATTTCTCAAGCTAATGGTCTGGCCACAACCATCAGGCTGTGGCTTGCCCCCCCCCCCCACTTAAAAAAAATTTAAAGGGAATGCATGAAATGCGTGATAATGTCCCAGAGTTCTCATGTACACCCCTTCTGGCCCCCCCACTTTTCCATCCATATTACACTTATGGGTCATTCTACGTCAAATCTACAAAGTGTTAAAAGGTGACTTTCTCCGATTTGAATGAAATTTGGCAGACTTATTTGTACCTGTTAGAAAGTTATTCACAGCAATTATTGGGTTCATTTGACTTCTTGTTCCTCAGATATGAGGTCATGAGAATTTGGGCTTAAATGCCTTCCGACCGCATCCTGAGACAGTCTTCTCTTCATAACTTCTGCCCTAATTGTGCTAGAGACCTCTTCTTTGGATTGTCTGAAAGCTCTTTTCATGTTCTTTCCAGAGATTGGACTAGTTTTTGGCAAAATGACAAATGCTATCTTCTAGTGAAGAGGTCATGGCAATGACCTTTGATCTCACATAACAAAAAAACAACCATTTTAGATTGTAATAAAAATTGGCTGGTTTGTAGGCAAGACATATGGCTACCTATGTGTTAAATTTTATTTTGGGCTCTCTAGAAGTTCCAAAATAACAAGTAAAAGTAGTGATTTCTATAATAACATTCTTGTATTCATTAATGCCTTCCAGTTCAATGCACTACAGAGAACTGGAACACAATAAAAAGAAATCAGTACACCAATCACAGAACCAAGTCAAAAGATCTTGATGGGACATTCCCTCTATTTCTTGTTCTTGTGAAGACATGTTGATGCATCCACCATCTCTTCATTGGACCGTTTGTATGTACATCCTGTTTCTGTTGAGGGATTCACAAATGAAAGGACTTGACTATGATGTACTCTAAGTTCATCAGATTTGTGAGGATAGGAAAATAAAGGGGCTGGACCATGTGGATGAAGGAAACAAACAAGATTTTCCTCATTGTCTTCAAATTTTGCAAGAACATTTGATGAGCGCAAACAGTTTTTATTTTCTTCACCTGACTCCTTCAAATAAGAAGATCCTTTTCTCAAGGGTGTAGGTGTCCACACTTTTCAGTGTTCTGTGGTCACAGAAGTCCAGTAAATTCAGGTATTCACCAATAGTACACACGTTTTTCAGAACTGTGTATTCTTCAGCAGAATTATCCTTCCAAAATATATGACCAAGTAGCTACTCTCGAGTTCTCTATATAATGAACATCAACAAAGGGAATTGAATTAAAAGCAGATAAATACTGTTTATTTATGTTTTGTTGTGCTCAGCAGTATCAGCAGTCACTTTGCCCAGCTTCATATCTCAGCTGAAGTCATGCTGCATATGAACTATTTTTCACTTCCAAGCATGGAAATAGAAACTTTCTTTAATATAGGCATAATACTACTTGTGCATTAAATGCACTTGCAGTATTTGTATGCATGAAATTGAATCAAGGTTACATTGTTCATTTTTACTTTGGATTCAACGGAAATGCATTCCTATAAGTGCCCACAATAATGTTGAATTCTCACGTTAATCAATTTCATGCAAATGGCCTGGTATCTCCATAAATTACCAGGTGCCCAAGATAAAATTTGATACAGAGGTAGATATGTCTTGTTTACGATTTATCCAATTTTCATCAAAATTCAAGAGGGTTGTTTTTGACAGTGAGGTCAAAGGTCATCAACATGGCCTCCTTACTGAATGGTAACTTTTAGCATTCATCAAAATGTATCAATACCAATGGAAAGGACTGGAAAAGAACTAAAAAAATGAGTCTAAGATTAGCTCTCTAGCATAATTAGGACCAGAGTTTCAAGGAGAAGACTATATCAGGGTACAAAATAAGGCATTTCAGCCTCAAATTTGTGACCTCATACCAAAGGAACCAAGGGTCTAATGAACCCAATATTTTGTGAGAATTTGTTTCTCACCATTGTTGATAAGTACACCAAATTTCATCCATATCTGAGGGGGGTCACCTGAAAAATGTCCTCAAAGTGTGTTGATTTGACACAGAATGACTCTCATCCCTACCACTGGAGAACGATATCCTGATCTTGTGCAGTAGCATCTCTTCCCTCCTGGAGAACCTCCATTAAAGCAGATTAGCCAGGATTAGCACCTGTCAACTAATTTGATTGGAAAGAGGCCTGATTTTATTATCCTCCAAAGGTGCAAGGCACTGAACGAAATATGCACAAGTTTCAAAAATTGGATGGAAGTGTGGACTGAGCCGTAAAAAGGGGGGAAAAGGTTTACCAACTCTCCTTTGTGAAATTCATGAATCCCATTTGCAGTGACACTCGTCACTCGACATAATAAAAATTTTGTGCTTCATGCCATGCCAACCCAGTTTATAAATTGCATCTATTTGTTATATTTTGCAGTCTAGAAGCAATATTTGACAAGGGAAATCATTCCTCACATCTGACTGATATTTATTGGCTTATCAAAATAAATAGAATCATAATCATGTAGCTAAATTGTTTCACATTTACACTTTTGTGGGCTGGTTGCTCGCAGGGAAAAAGCTGGTAATGAGAATGTATCCTTTGAGGATACAATTTTAAAGGATTCTTTACATTTTAAAACTTAAAAAAATCATTAACTGTCAAACATGGATGTGGACAAATCCGATCCAATCATGCCTCAGAAAGCCAATTGAAAAGAAAACTGCCAGCTTCAAAACCAGGATTTCAGCCAGGTTTAACACAACTGCCAAAACCATTTAGCCTTGCCTTGAATAGTGAATAATTGATATAATGCTCTTGGTCAATTATTCACTATTCACTAACGTGCATAGGGATGACAAAAGATATGGTCTAGGAAATACAAGGGTGTACAACCTGTAGGCATCCCTTATTAGCAGATGGCAAGTTCGAATAGTCATCCCTGCCGTAGGTCATAGTTGCAGATTTATTTCAATCCTATGATAGGCAATTGTGAATCATAGTATCATAACTTATTTTTGAGCTGATAACTTTCTCAGGTACCATTGCACTCCTGTCTCCTGATCCAATAGCCAGTCAGAGCAAAGGAACTAAAAAGGAAGAGGGGTGGAGAGATGAATTTGCTGCCCACCACTGGTGATCTTGTGGGGTTAGTATTTTGAGATTTTCCTCTAGGTGAATACAAAGGGCAGCAAAAGTCAGAAACCTATGCCAACATGATCATATTCATACTGGTAGAACTATAACTACCCATTTGAAAATTTCATAAATGACCATATAGTGCAATACATAGGGTAACTTGGGGGAATATGGCCATTGGGGTAATATGGCCCTTCACGAGGAATCCCCTTATAGACTGAAAAATTAGTTTGGGCGAATTTAAAAAATAGTTCTATCAAAGAGTACATGCAATTGTCAAAATGTGTAGACCTGTTCATCAATCCAGTTCCCACAGGAATTTGGGATACATTGATGTCTTAAAAGTCATATGCATACGATTCTTTGACTCATGACTGTGGAACTAATATGAGCCTTGAGCAGCATAAGCGTATATTTCCTAATAGCAGCATGGATGCAGAAACCATTACTTCTAAGTTCTTCTATGGTCTCTCTAGAATGCTTGTGCAAAGTGCTAGCCCCTTCGGTTGCAATTTGTAGGCAGTGTTGTCAATTTTGTAATGCGAGCCAATATGGGGAAATATGGCCATCTCGGTTTTGGGTAATATGGACATATCCTTCGTTTCATGTTAGCACCGCACAGGCCTATTGATACTGTCTGCTTCCTTTTGTGTGGGATCTCAGACTGCAAAAGATCATCCAATGCACTTCCTCCGGATATATGGATAGACGTACTGGACATCTGGACGAAATATGCAGTACATGAGGAGGCCATGCATGAGGGTATGCTTATGCACCTCCTTCTGCATTGCTTGACATTCTCCAGAAATTTTTGTTGCACGAAACTTGAATGCAGGTAAATATCCCTCGTAAAAATAGGACATTCTGTGATTTTTGGCATTATTTATCCATACATGCAAAAACAACACAACATTTTTCCTGCAATGTAAGACCTCTTATTTTACACTCGTAGCACATAGTCACTTTAATCGATGCTTGATCATTCCTCTTACACACACACAGTCTCTAGATATTGTCTCCCAATCACTTGCATTGTTACTCAAAAGCAAAAGCGTTGCAATCCTGTTTTCCACAACGGTTCCTCGAGTCAGGTAATGATGTCGACTTTTTTGCTTGTCCTCGGTGCAGTTAATGTTGATATTGTCTCCCAATCACTTGCATTGTTACTCAAAAGCAAAAGCGTTGCAATCCTGTTTTCCACAACGGTTCCTCGAGTCAGGTAATGATGTCGACTTCTTTGTTTGTCCTCGGTGCAGTTAATGTTTCTTTTTCAACTGCTGAGAGTCCTTTATCATGTTTCAAGGTACTCAGCATGTTCCAGCACATTTCACACGTTCCTGGACAATCTGGAGTTGTTTTTCAGAAGTGGCCATATTCCCCCAACTATAGGGTTAATATGGCCTCTTGAGACCTACTCAAAAAAGACCCAAAGGCGCCATAACCATGGTTTTTTTTGCATACGCCTTGCTGGCATGTAGCGGTTTGCATTGGTGTTCAACATGTGCACCCTTGTAAATAAAGGCGAAAGTTTCAATATTATAGACTTGAACCTTCACAAGTATTTTCATCAGTAATGCTATTAAAAGACAAAACTTGGCTTGCTCATTTAGGAGTGTCTTCTTCATTTTGACTGACAACTCAGATGGTAGATGGGAATAGAAACTGTATTTCTTTATGAAATTATGCAATGAAGGAATTGTTCAATGAAGGCCAGGGACAGCATGACATGACATGGCCTGGCATGTGCCCCCACTTTACAACAAAAAAACATTAATACAAAGGAAAAGGTGCATGAAATTGACTGAAGCAGCTTACCATGTTGCTAAAGATCATGGAATACCTACAGTCAAAGCTCCCTTGTACTGGCTGACACCCTCCTGTTGTCATTTTAGCTGACAAAATCACAAAGAAGAGAAGACCTGGGCATATAATTGTAAGTATAAAAACATAATGATTTAAAAAAATAGTTTTACATTTTCCTTGTGTTTGTATTTGGTATTCCTTCATATCTCACCTATTTCTAGGACTGTTGCTAGCAGTCCCAGAAGCAGAGATCAGAGTAGGTGAGACTGCTGCAAAGAGGTGCTGCAGGGCAATATCACTACTGCATTTGATGCATAGCCTTGGGAAAACATGGGACTAGAAGAGATGATTCAGCATCAGACAACATCCCCTTTGGTGAGAGTAGAGGAATATAGTGACTTTGTTGTGCCAGTTTTCCTTGACATGCCAATGATGAAGGGAGAGCTTAATGCAACAGCATCTCATGATCAAATAGTGAAGACTTTGATGGAGTTTGGTGTTCAGAACCAACAGATTCAAGGTGGTCCATTTGATGGTGTATATCTGAAATGGGGCATAAAAGATAAACTGTTGTCCTACACTTCATCAGCCACCAAATTGGTGTTCCATGGTACATGACCTAGCCCATTGTCTAAACCTGGCAGATCATGATATCCTCCAGGATGAAGAATTCAAGTGGTTGACTTCCCTTACAGATATAATTGGTTCAATTTTCAAGTTTTATTGCCATGGAAAAAGTATGAGGAGCTGCTGGACATGTGTGAAAGCCAAGGTGAGAAGTGAAGAGCCCCAGCATCATACAGTGAGACAAGATTTGCTGCTCATGCACATAAGGTATACAAGAATTTTGTCCAGGATTATAGTGCCCTACGACAATGTTTGACATCAGCAGCATCAACTTCTGCCATCAGAACTTCCACCTCAGAGAAAGACAAAGATTCACAAGTCCTGCTTGGAAAAATCTCAACTGTTTCATTTATGACCCACTTAGTAGCAGTTACTGACATATTCAGAATTCTCCAGGGTCTCTCAGAGATGTCAACAGGTTGGTCAGATGTGACCTAATTCATAAGAAGTTAACTAAACATTTTAACATGGTAAAACACTGTCTCTCTAGGTTGCGTTATTTCAGTGGGAGGTCTATGATCACAGAGTCCACCATTCAGAAGATGCATCACCTGTCCCAGACAATGGAGAATGTTCCCATGGCTGTCTGTTCCTCATTCCAAGAAGAGAATCCAGTGAATCAGATATATTACTTTTCAGCAATTAGTTTCTGTTATATTAGTCCTGCAATGAATATTTTTCACTTTAGGACCCTATAATGGAAGACCTTCCCATGCTTCAGAAGCATTTGGGTAGCATCATGAAGGGAGAATTTATGGGACTAGGAATGACTCAAATCTTGAGTCTTCACAAGCAACTAGGTGGGCTCAACTAATTTCTAGATGAGGAATATGCTACTTATGAGAATGCTGGGTGACAAATCCACTTCAGGTTATGTAAAACATTGCATTTTGTATTTGCAGAGCAGCAACAAGAGAAGTGCATACTGGAAGTGAATCACTGACAACTGCAATCAAGACATCACTGACTAATGCTTTGCATTTTTGTGAGAAGTTGACACACAGGATTGTAGTTCACATGACCAAACCTGTTCTTATAGATGTTATGAAAGATGTCAAGAATATGGAGCAGATCTGCTCATTGGCTCAATCTTCTCGCCCAAAAGAATTGGAGAGTTATGGGGAGGATGCCCTCCAAGTTCTGCTGGAACATGCAAATGCAATTGAAGGGGATGAAGACATGGATGATGTGAACGATAGATCTGAGGATGTGAATGGCCTCTTGACTCTTGGTCCCTATGCTGGACAAAGATTGGAATTTGAACAGGTAAAATGAGAATATAAGATATTCAAGAACAGGATTTGGGTGTTTTTCCATGATAAGGGAGAAACTCCACTAGCAAGGGCAAGAGTATTTTATCAATGTGAGATTCAGAAGAAGGAGCTCATTCTTCCCCGAAGGGTTCTTCACCTCTTCTTTCAAACCCCAAGCCTCTATAAAGATATTGAGAACTTGCCTCCATCTTGTACTGTGCTGCTCCATGAAACTACACCTGGAATCTGTGGTAGAATCCATGGGCTCAGTTTTGGAAGCTCATGCTGTTGCCAACAGGTCAGCTAAGCACAAAAGCTTTGATTTCTGAAGTATGTTTGCATTGGCAAGGTCCTCCAAGCTCTAAGGCTGACAGGTTGCTGATGTCAACCCTTGACCAGATTTTTCTTGAGAGGTTTAAGTGGCATTTCATCACCACAGGACATTTGGACTTCAAGGCCTCCAATGTCATCCAGAGGCAGTCGGCAAGAATGGCAAAACTGCCATTTCTTTTAATCCAATGGGTACATGTATTCAAAATTAATAATAAAAGAAATTCTTGGCTTTCAGGAGAGCTTCAATTATTGGAAGGGCACATAATTTGCATGAATTTGTTGCTAATGGTTTGGAACAGATGATGACTTCTTAGATATATCGGTATAGCTATCTAAATGGCTAATAACAGAAGGTGGATATAATGTATATGGTATTAACACTCTCATGGTGCAAAGGTAAAAATTGGTGCTATTTTAATTACAGCAGTTTTGTAAAATGGTATGAAATGACCTTCTTTTACATCTCAAAAGTTTTCTAGATGACAGGAACTTCAAATGCCAGGGGTTGTGCTAATCTTCTTGCCTTAGGGGTCCCAGGGACCCTTAAGTCTGATAAGAAAGGGTCCTCTGAAAGTTTTGAGGGTCTCATTGCAAATGAAGCTTGATTAAAATTTGTAAATTTGTAATAAAAAAAAATTACAAGTTCAGCATTCCATGTTTATTCACTGATTTAGCATAGTCAAACAGCATTCCAGCAGCATTGGGACTACTTCCGACATTTCTTCTGTGACTTAAATACCCCCAAGGCATCTTCAAATTTATATTCTCCCAATGATGGCCCATTCAAGTTTGTCATTTGATGGTGCATTTGTTGATCTGAGAGGCTACTTCTCAAATTATTCCTCAGTAAATTTTGTAAACTGAAATCCCTCTCACATTCGACACTTGGCAAGGGAACTGCCAGTAAAATCTGTCCAAGGACAGTAAAGTCTGGGAAGTCATCAGAGAATTGTTGAATGGTAAATTTTATGCAATCAAAAATGTTCCTCCCTTGCATGCTTTGCAGCAAGAATTTGAATTGCAGATAATCCCCTTTACAGTGTTCTGCATCTATGAGCCCTGAAACAGGTTCATCCTTACTTTCCCTTTCTGCTCCATAAAAATCCAACAGCTTTGCCAGCTCCTGTTTGTCATGGCCTGGCACATCTGCTTTGCTATTTGGAACAATGTCTGGATCAAAGACAAATGTCAAGCTCTCCAAAATTCTAAGGCTCTTTTCAGGAAACCATTCCTGCAAGTTCTTCCCTAGTGCTTCATAAAAAGCATTTCTAGCATTAACCATTGAATGGATTTCTCTGGCCGATTTTGACCCAAAATATCCTTGATATGTTCTACTTTCATCAATTTCTTTCAAGGCAGAATAGAACTTATCCTCGTTGTTTTCTTTCATGCAAGTCAAGCTCTCCAATAAAGCCCTGATCATTAGAGTGGTGCATTTTGGGTCTAATACATTCCTCTGAAAAATATTGATCATCTTGTTGAGAATAGGCATTGTATCCAGTAAGATTGCCATTGTTCCAATACATTGGAATGATCTGAAGTATTTCAGGAGACCTTTTGCCTTTGCTCCAGCCTCACTTATCAGAGGCTGCCTCATTTTCTAATGTAGCAATGATTCCTTTCCAGTCATGGGAAATTGCTTCAGTTGCCTGGTGCATGCTTAACCACCAAAATTCTACAGGGTTTTTCAGCGAAAGCATTTTGTTCTATGGATCTGTGACTTTACAAGCCTCCCTAAGTTTATTATACCTCACTGGTGATGCAGAAAAATAAAAAAAGAGGGTTTTTATGTGCTGCTGGAACTCACTGAAAGCATCTATTTCCTTTGAAGATTGATTGGCAGCAAGAGCAAGTCTGTGGCAAAGGCAATGAGTATGGAGTAGAAAGGGTGACACTTGAGACAATCTGGCTCCTAAACCACCCCTTGTAACTCACTGAAAGCATCTATTTCCTTTGAAGTTTGATTGGCAGCAAGAGCAAGTCTGTGGCAAAGGCAATGAGTATGGAGTAGAAAGGGTGACACTTGAGGCAATCTGGCTCCTAAACCACCCCTTGTACCCATCATTACTGCAGCTCCATCTGTTGCCAGCCCAAGGTTCTTTAAGGTGTCTACCCTTTTCCCTCGATTTTGAAAGAAGAGAGTCAAGAATGGTTTCAGCCTTTCCATCTGGCAAATCAATTTCAGCAACAAATCTGACAATAGCAGATGCCATTTTTATATATCTCACATAGATAGAAAGTTTCTTTTTTAATGTGATATCACAGCTCTCATCCAATATCACCCCAATGAATGGTGAAGACTTCATATCCATATCAACACCGCTCATGATGACTGTATTAATGGCATCCTGCATCTCTTCAACAGTTTCATGATGCTTGTATGTAGAGTTTTCTTTCTGTAAAGATGGACATCCAATGGCAGCCTAATGGAAGATAATTAAATATATGTGTATATTATAAAAGATTTTTAGAAAGTTCATGTGATTCCAGATAAGCAAAATCACACTCTTGAGGTTCACAAACCTGGAGTGCAATCAATGAGGAAAACTTGCTGGTGGCAACATTTTCCTTTGCCAGCCAGTAGGTTGTTCTCAACTTGACAAGGTTGACATCTTTTGACTTTTCAAGGGCATGCTCTGTGGCCTTGGTGAAATCCTTGTGGAGCTTAATTCCTTTGAAGTATTCCTGATGGTCCTTGCCTTTCTCATGTCTATCAAAGGCCGACTTCTGCAAATTACAACTGCCAGATCCAGTGTAGGGATTTTTCTTCTTGGAATTAGCGCAGAAATCACAGAAAACCCTTCCTTCTCTACAGGAAAGCCAGGGATGCATGTTGACCCACTCCGTTTTCCATTTCCTATCTTTTCTCTTTCGTTGTGAATCGTGGCTAACATGCTGCTTGACTTCCTCATCATCTCCCACGTCCATCCCTTTCCCTTTTCTTGGACTAAGCGATGGTCTAAGGTAATTTTCCTCTTCCTGGACATCCTAAGTGAAATGAATATATGACCTTCGTAGAGGCCTAGGCTGTTCCTACCTTATCTTCTGTGACACTAGGCTTATTTTCAGGAACGCCTGAACGTATGCAAATGGTAATTAGAAAATACTAAGATCATTAGCTTTCCGCTTGAAACCAAAAGAGAAGAGCGTAGTTCTGGAGCTGCCTGAGACCATAGTTAAAAGAAACAGAAGTACATCAATGAGCACATGATCACAACTTAGGTTGAGCTCCTCACTTTTCATGTACGCACACCGTCTCGGAAATTTCTTTGCTTCCCTAGCAATAACATGGTCTCTTACTCACAGTGACTATGTAGGCACGTTTCAAAATAGGAAACTGCTAACAGGTCTGAAAATCAGCTTGAGTAAACAAATTCCTCATGCGTTTTTCTTTTGTGCGTCCCGTTGGAATTTTGTGCGTATAGGACGCACATTTTCGCATAAATGCAACCCCTGAATGCACTTCACTTCCCTGAACCCCGCAGAGAGTTTATGTATTCTCTACTCCCATGGTGAATTTTACAGGCTCAATCAGCTTGTCACCATATCCTTCCTGGGAAATTCAGACTTTCACATCAGGTTTATGGGAAGGAAAACTTTTTTTCCTACTCCACCTCAGAGCATCTTGAGATGATTCTGTTCTGTTTGAGAGGACTAACCCCTGAACTCAACTGCTTGATCATTGGTTCTATTGGGTCAGGTAAAGCCCCTTTCTTTCCTTGGAAGACTGAATTGTGCAATGGTATGGCTTGTGATAACATCGCAATGAATTTTTAAGTGGAAAGTATCTTATAAATTTAGTGAGCTAATTGTTCATTCTCATTTGTGTATTCTTGTTATACTATTTCTAATCATCTTTTGAGCCAGGGATCACCAATGGTTAGCATGCTTCCACTGAAGCACCTTTACTAATCAAACTTCTGTTGCAGCTATGTACAGGGTGACACAAAGCTTGGACACTATTTCTTTTAATTAATTTTTTTTGCATTTATTTAAAATGTCACACTGACAATACCACTCATTTTGTTTGCTTATTGTAATCATTCCATATTTTGGAAATTAATCCTACTCCTCTTTCACTTCAGAAATTTCTTTGCGATGGTTCTTTTTGAAATGATTCTGTGACCATGTTTTTGACTTGTTGATGCTAAAGGTATTTTTGCTGTTTTTCTTCAGTAGCATGGGCATGGACCATTGAAAGGGATCCTACCATCTGTGTGCGACCCAAAGCAGTCATTTGGATGTTACTTCTCATACCTCTCTTATTCTCCCTGACTGTTGTCCTGCTGAAGTTACATCTACCTTCATGAGTTGAATATCCTTCTTCATTTGAGTTTATGTATTTTATTTGTTTCTTGCTCCTTCCTTGTTTGGAGTGACTGATGCACATCTTCAATTATCTCCATGTTTGACCATTTTTCATGAATCTTTCATATCTTAGAGGTTTCTTAGAAGCATCAATGCCAGTGGAGGGGGTGTCAGCAGATTCAGTCTTTTCTCACTGCGATCGGGATCAGGTTTCTGCCTCATTTCCACCATTTCTTGCCTCGATTGGGGTGTGGACCTATATCTGCCTTCCATAATTTGTCACCTGTGATTTGAGAAGTTGGAGGGGGAGGTATGACCTTCATGACAGTCATAAAGCCTTACCATACCTCAACTATCGAAAATGACATCAAT